ATTAAGAATTTCCTTGCTAGATCATCCCAAGTATGGGTTGAGTTCGCGGGCTCCTTTGGCAACCATTCCTTAGCTTTCCCCAGCAGTGAAAAGGGGAAAAGTGTCAGCCTAACATAGTCCTTGGAAACCTTCGGATAATTGTAAGTGTCCGAAATTTCCAAGAAATTCTAAATGTGCCTCTGCGGATCTTCATGAGATAGACCCACATATTGCCCTGTGGACTGAATTAGTTGTACCAAGTACTGTTTGAGTTCAAAATGCCCTGTGATATCAGGCTTCACAATAGCCTGATCCATATTAGCAAGATTGGGCCTTGCGGCTTCTGTCACCGCACGCTCTTCATTACCTGCTATCTCTATTGGATGTGGTTGAACTACGATGTCCAACTCTCATGCTATTCTAGTTCTAGCTTTGACTTCCCTCCTCACTCTGTGAAGTGTTCGTTCGATTTCAGGATCAAGAGGAAGGAGATTGTTTGCGCTTCTACTCCTCCGCATTCAAGAGAAGAGCATGCGTTAACACAAACAAGGTAAACTGGAAATTAAAACTTGAACAAATAACTAATAAAAGCTTAAGTCAGTCAAGTAGCTAATTTCTAAGTCCCCAGCAACGGCACCAAAAACTTGTTGCGACCAAATACACTCACGCAAGTATACGTGATCGTCAAGTAATAGAGTAGTGAGTAGAGTATCGTTCCCACGAAGACCTGTGATTAACTATTGACTGATTCAAACTCAATTAACTTATTGATTCTAGAGATTTCTCAATAAATATAAAAGTGACTAATTTACTACCTAAAATTATCAAGCAATGAATTAACTAGAAATCAACTGAAACAAATAGCAATTTCAAATAACAATCAGTAGGAGAGAATATTCCAAGGTCACGGGTTAGCTGACAATCATGTTGCGTTCTTGGCTTAAAATGACTAACTGATTTATCTAGATTGTTGATTGACAGGGTTGATATTACTAATAAGAATCTGTCGAGTCCTTACTCGCTTATTCAAGTTAACTTAATGCATGTCTATGGAATTAGGATTAACAAGAATGCATTTAACATTCCTGTATTTCAACCAAGCAAGGCAATTAGGTATATGTCTATCCTAATTGCGAATCTGTTCCCCGATGCCCGGGTTCAAGAACTTGCTCTATTTAATTCTATATGAAATCTAGAGTTTCCACTTTCGAGTTCAACTCTAGATTCATACATAGTATTTCACTGTTAGCTACTCAGCAAAATAATTAAAAACAGAATTAAATAAACAACCCAATTATGATAAAATCAACTTCGTCAAATTAAACTTCAAATATCAACATTCATGTTTCACCCATGACCCTAGAACAATAGGGTTCTTAGCCACTCATGTTCATTCGATCGTCAAAAATAAGGTTTACAAACATAAAATCAATGAGTACTAGAAAAGGGATGGAAGAAATTGATCAAATCCGTGCTCCCGAGTGTTTGGATCTTTTGTTATCCTCTCAAAGTCACGTTCCCCGCTTCAAAATAGGTTTAGGTTGGATTTATATTAGTTGGGGGAGTCTTGGGGTAAAAACAACCGAGTCCTAATCGAAACAGGACAACTTCACGTTCCGAGCGTCCAGGGCAGCAAGGGGCGCTGGCCCTGGCGCCCAAAATATTTTGATTCTGTAAATTGCGCCACAGCCAGCGCCTCACGCTGGCTGTGGCCCTCAAATTTTACTTTTTGCTTTTTCTTCCTAATTTCGCTCCAATTCGCGCCATTTAGTCCCAAATTGCACCCGAATGATTCCTACACATAGAAATACCACAAATGAGCACAAATCATTATATCATACATCCGTAATCTACTAGACATGAGCCAAATACATGGCGATATATATATCAAAATATACATACTTCAAGCTGATTATCAGGATTCGCAGGTGCGATGACCGCAGAAGCGGAAGGTGAACCGCATAAGCGGAACCTTGGAAAGCTGAGACAGGAGCCGCAGGTGCGGATAGTGGAGCGCACTTGCGAGACCGCATGTGCGGTGTTGTGACCGCAAAAGCGGTTTCTGAAGGGTTAAGTGGGAACCGCACTTGCGATGGATTTTCTGCAGGTGCGGCATCGCAGAAGCGACTGTTGGACCGCAAATGCGGTATCTCTGGGTAGAAAGTATAAATTATGGACTTCGTAAATTTTGGGCCATTCTTCACCATTTTTATTCAGTTTTGAAGCTTTGGGAGTGATTTGAAGAGGGATTCAAGGGGGTTTTCGTTGAGGTAAGTTACTTGAGCCCTAATACTCATATTTATGGTAAATTCCCGTAGTTTAATCATGTAATTAGTGAAGATTAGAGGTGAAAATGAGGGGCCAGGGCTTGGGAGTTTTGGAGAGATTGATTGAGGATTTGAGGGGTCAAATGGAGTCATATTTAGATAAATCTTATATATATGGACTCGTGAGTGAAAGGGCTTTCTAGTTTTGTAATTTTTGTTGGATTCCGAGACATTAGCCACGGGGCCGATTTGAGAGGATTTCGGGATTTGTGCCTAAGTTGATAATTGTTCTTGTGGAATTCATTCCATTAGCGCATATTTATGGTATTGTTCTGGTTTAAAATAGATTCGGAGCGATTGGAGGCCGAGTCGAGGGGAAAGAGCATCGCGGAGTAGAGGCTTGACCGGTTTGAGGTAAGTGACAATTGTAAATCTAATCCTGAGGGTATGAAACCCCAAATTTTGTATCATTTTACTATTTTTAGGTGACGTGCATGCTAGGTGACGGGCATGTGGGCGTGCACCGTTGGGGATTGTGACTTGGTCCATCCCGTAGCAACTATAAGTTGCTTATTTGGTTGAAACTATATGATACTTATGTGTTTTAGAAAGAGTTTCTGTAAATAGAGTTGAATGCCATATTTGGGCCTTGTGCCAGAGCTATTTGGACCCTTAGGGGCCTTTTTCTTGTTATCATCTCACTGCTTTTGATTAAAAATCTATACTCAATCGTGTTATACTTATTGATTTCATAACTCAGTCTTTATTACTCTATTTTGATGCATATAAACGTTCTTTTGGGCTGAGACCCTTTTTTTTTAGAGCACGAGTGGCTTGAGAGGTTTATGACTGAGTGAGGCCGAGGGCCTGATTTGTGAGGATATGATGTTTTATACGTCAATACCACACAAGAGGGGGGGTGATTTGTGTGGTACCCAATTTTCGCTTAACTTGATTATAGAAGGACCTGGTTCTTCTATGTGTTCCAACTACTACTGTCGCGAAATAATAACTACAGAAAATAAAGAACACAGAGATTTTACGTGGAAAACACCTGGCTCAAAAGGTGATAAAACTACGACCTACCTTCCAGTTGGATTTTTCCAAACTCTCCACTAAAATCATTGAGCCAAAAACTGCATTTACAAAAACACTTTTGTAAACCTAGGATTAAGTCTAATCCCGTTGTGGCACACAGCCTCAACTATTGCGACAAGTTCAAGTTAACTCTAACTTGAAAACTCTAAGTACCTAATACAATTGCTTCTAAATAAGCTAAAAGGTACAATGTAAAATCACCTACTACAATTGAACTAGAATAAAAGATAGACTCTTGGAACTGGTTCTTCTATCTGGTTCAAGTAGCTTCAGGATTGCACGCTTGAATCACACATAAATTGCTTGCAAAATTGCCTTGCTATTTTGCTCTCATTTCACGTTTAACTTCTGCTTATGTGCATTACCTGTAAAAGAGAACAACACTAATATTTAAGGAGTTAGCAATTGGAGATTGACTAGGATACTGACGCTACTCTTCCATGGTGAAAGAGTTCTAGTTGATCTCACACTCTAACTCTATCCCTTTCCTAAACCGTGGTCTCTTTATGTAAGGAGTCTTTCTCCTTATCCAATATGCAGCCTTTTCGATCATGATTAGGAGATAACACTTCTGATATGTTAGGTTTATCTCCTTCACGTGCATCTCACATGTTTGAGTTGGTCATAACTGTGCTTCACATGATGGACCTGGTCCATGTCTTAGTTCCTTTGTCAGTCTTCAAAACTTCACCTTTACTTGGGCCAAAAAATTCCCCATTTTGATGATGACAAACTCTGTGCTTCTCACTCACTTAGGCCCTGTCAGTACTCAGCTTATTCATCAATACAAAGTTAGAAAAATTTACTTATCATCAAGGACCAGGTTCATTAGGTTATAAACATCACTTATTTAGAATATTCAAAGCACAATATCTCTTCCCCCTTTTGGCATCATCGAAAAGTTGCATGAACAAAGTGTGAGTCCTAGAATTTTAACAATTACTCATGGCCACTGGGGCAACTGCAAGTGCAATCATGGATTAATCATCAGTAATCAAGCAACCATTTCAAACTATCAAGGAAATATTAACAATCAACAAGAGCAAAAACAGTAGATATCATTGATAGAAGATATGTTGCTACCACAATCCACAAAAGAAATCAAAAATATTCAAAACATGAGCAAAAGAAAGAGAAATCCCTAATCTGGGTTACTGGTGGTACTAGACAAGTTCAGGAGATGAAGACTAGAAGTCTTAAGGCTTGGGATAGCTAGAGGGTTGGTTTTGGGCTTGGAGAAGGTTCAGCATATTTTGAAGAATCCCATCATTCTTCTCCTTTTCCTTGGTGAGCTTAGTTTTGAGAGCACCCCTCTCAGATTCAACCTCTGCTAAGCGAGCCTTTAGCCTAGCTATCTCAGCATCCTTGGACCCACTTTCCTAAACTAGAGCCCTGACTTTACTGTTGACAGGAGTCTTCTTGGATGAACCAGGTTCATTGGGAATGGTAGTGACTAGATAGTCACAAGCAATCAAAGTATTTATGCCAAAATAGTCCTTACTTGTGTCCATTTCCCACTTCTTTAGAGGCGCCTTGCACCGATCCAGAACAGTAGTCAGAATAAATCCATAAGGGGTGGCATGGGCCTTGGAGCCATTGATAACCCTGTCCAGTAGCTTGATGATGAATGCAGGCCAGTTTATTTGTCTTCCACTTTCAAGACAGTCCATCAGAACTAAGTCCATGCAGTTGGCAATGTGCCTTGTTTCCTGCCTGGGCAGTAGGCACTTGTTGACAAATTCAAAGAGGACTTTGTGTTGTGGCTTCATTTCACTCTTGTGCACAAACTTGGCCTCATTCACTTCTTCAACGTCACAGAATCTCCTAGTGATTTCAAGGGCAAGAAGAAGGGAATCCAGACTTGGCCATCTTTGCCTAGTGTAGTCATCATATCCCTCAGCAGGGATGTCAAGAATCTCTCCCAGCTTCTCTGAATCGAAGGTCACTTGAACTCTTTTCACTTGGCTGGTGACTCTGCCATCCTTGACTTTTGCATTTGCCATGAATTCAATTATCTCATTCCTGGCTAGCCTTCCATCCATCTGAAGGACCATGTCCTTCCAGCCCTAAACAGCTAGTGCATCAACCAAACAAACCATTCCTGGTTCCACCAAGTCTTTCAGCAATCTTCCCTTCAAAATCTTTCTTAAGTCTTTCAGCAATCTTCCCTTTCTTTTGCCAAACTTGGCTAGCTTGTCTTGTTCACCATCAGACTCACTCTCTTCTTCACCACTCCATTCCTCATCTTCAGTAATTCTAACTTGTTTGTTTTTCACTGCAGACCTTGTTCTCTTGGACAATGAAGGTTCATCAGCCTTAGATCCTGATGAAGACTTCTTGGAAGAAGTCCTGGTCTTTTTAGGCTTGGGGGTCTGAACCTCCACAGTTGTATGTTCCTCATGATGGACTTGTTCCATCTCCTCAACATTAACAGCCTCAGAAGGCTCTGCAACCTTAGCTTTTCCTTTATCCATCCTCTTCTTCTTGCTTTCAGCCAAAGCCTTTTGTAACTCACTCTCACTTTGTTTCACCATACTTCTAGTGGCTCTCCCCTTTGGCAAGGAAATTTCAGCGGTTGTTGGGGAAGAAGCCTTTCTTTTCTTGGAAGGTTTTGCAGTGCTGGGGGCTTTTAGTGTTGGGGTTCTCCTTTTCTTTGGATCATAGCTAGCACCCACTTTCTTCAGAACGTCTACTAGGGTCTCCTCAATAGATGAACCAGGTTCATCTGCCTGTGAACTAAGAATAACCAATCCTTCAGCAGCCTCCCCTGAGCCACTACCCCCTGTCTTCTTGCTACTTTCTTCCACAGTTGTATGTTCAACCCCACAGATAGCTGGTACCACCAATTTAGAAGTGGGTGAAGAACCAGCCACTTCTTTCCCTTTTCCCCTCACATTACTACGCATACCCTCACTCTCCTTTTCTTTTTCACCTTTATTTTTACCACCTCTCCTTCTTGACTCAGGCAATTCCACATTCATAACAGACCCAACCAGAACAAACCTATTGTCTACATTCTCAACCAAAACAGAACGTACATCAGAAGGGGAGTTTTGAGCCTTCTTAGAGTCAGAAGACCTAGTTCCTTCCCCCTCACTTCCATATTTGAATGAATCATCTGAGTTCTCAAAATCTTGGGCTTGGCTTGCCTTTAGTTTCTCGTTCAATTTCTTGGAAAGAGCACCAGTTGCCACCATTTTGCGAGCAAGCATTTTTACTCGCCTTCTCCTAGGTTGAGGAGTTGTGCTGGGTGGAGAAGGGGTGGATGAGTCAGAGGGAGTAGGTTGTGGAGGAGTGCCTGGGTTGTATTGAGGATTCGACATAGTAACTGATTTCTTGAGAGAATTTGTGAGTTAGGCTTTTGGAAGAGAGAACAATTTGAGAGTGAAAGAAGGAATTTGACGGTTTAGAGAATTATGAGAGTGGCAGTGATTGTGATGATGGGTTTTTTAAATAGAGAGGCCTAATTAATGACTAACGGTAGCTTTTTGGAGTCAATTAGAAGTCCAATCAACCTGAAATTTCAGGCTGAAAAAACGGTTAGGCTTCCCTAGATTCTAGGCGTTTTATATGGTGAGAACTCTAGTAGAGACGGAACTGGTTCAAAAAATAAACGGATAGGATTTTCTGATGTTTTTGAACATAGATAGGATTCTGCTCATGATTTAAATATTTATATTTCTAATTGTGCAAAGTATAGAAAACATACCTCGTTATTCAGATGACCAGTACTGATGAACCAGGTTCTTCATTTAGAATTCTCTTGATCATGCCTCAATTTACCAAAATAGAAAAAATTTTGTTAGAGATCAGTGAGTCATATCAACACATGTCACGGGAATATACTATTTACAGTATGAAACTAAGTAAAAATTAATCTAGATATTTACACAAGTTCCAGATTTCCTAGCCAAAAACAAAAAAAAATTTAATCAATTTTTTTTCTCATTGTGCATTCTGAGCAGGTCCCATTAAGTGATCTTAATCATCCCTAATTCTAACCTGTTCCTTTCAAAGCTTTCTCTACTCAGTGCTTTAGTAAAGATGTCAGCAATTTGTTTATCAGTAGCACAGAATTCTATAGTAATTAATCCTTTCTCATAGTTGTCCCTTAAGAAGTGATGTATAACATCTACGTTCTTAGTCCTCTTGTGATGAACTGGTTTCTTAGTCATACTAATAGCACTAGTGTTATCGCAAAAGATAGGGATGCAGCCAACTTCAATGCCAAAATCCATCAGCTGATGTTTGATCCACAGCAGTTGAGCACAACAAGAGGCAGCAGCAACATACTCAGCCTCAGTAGTGGATAAAGCCACTGAATTCTGCTTTTTAGTGGCCCATGATACCAGACATGAACCAAGAAAATGAGCCATAACTGAGGTGCTTTTCCTATCCACAAGGAAACCTGCATAGTCAGCATCAGCATATCCTACTAGATAAAAGTTACTAGCTTTAGGGTACCAAAGGCAAAGGTCAGTAGTGCCTTTTAAATATCTCAGTATCCTCTTGACAGCAGTCAAGTGGGATTCCTTAGGATTTTCTTGAAAACGAGCACAAAGTCCTACACTGAAAACAATATCAGGTCTGCTAGCAGTAAGATACAGAAGTGAACCAATCATACCCCTATACAACTTCTGATCAATAGATGAACCAGGTTCATCTATGTCTAATTTAGTAGCTGTTGCAATAGGTGTGTCTATTTCTTTTGATTCATCCATTTTAAACTTCTTAATCAACTCTTTTGCATATTTCTGCTGATGGATCATGATTCCATTTGGGTTTTGTTTGATCTGTAAACCTAAGAAGAAGTTAAGTTCACCCATCATACTCATCTCAAACTCACTCCCCATTAATTTAGCAAATTCCTTACTCAGTTTTTCAGTGGTTGCCCCAAAAATTATGTCATCGACATATATTTGTACTACTAGTAGATCCTTACCATTTTCCCTCAAGAATAGAGTGCTGTCAATCTTACCTCTTTTGTATCCATGTTCAAGCAGGAATTTGGATAGGCGTTCGTACCATGCTCTAGGAGCCTGCTTCAGTCCATGTAGGGCCTTCTCCAGTTTGTATACATGATCTGGACACTCCTTACTTTCAAACCTTGGAGGTTGTTTGACAAATACTTCTTCCTTTAAGTAGCCATTTAAGAAGGCCCTCTTCACATCCATTTGGTGAAGGGTAAATTCCATGTGTGCTGCAAAGGCTATGAGGAGTCTTATTGCCTCCAGTCTTGCAACTGGAGCAAAGGTCTCATCAAAATCTATGCCTTCCTCTTGGCTATAACCTTGGACCACTAATCTTGCTTTGTTCCTTGTAACCGGTCCATATTCATCAAGTTTGTTTTTGAAAATCCATTTAGTGCCAATGACTGATCTGTGCTTGGGTCTTGTGACCATATGCCACACTTGACTTCTTTCAAACTGATTGAGTGTATCTTGCATTGCATTCACCCAATTTGCATCCTGCAAAGCTTCAGCAGCATTTTTAGGTTCAATAAGAGATAAGAATGTATAAAAGCACACAGATTCTTTAATTAAGATCTTGTTTTAACTCCAGAAGTTGGGTCAGTAAGGATGTTCTCAATAGGATGAGAACTTTGAAACTTGTAAGGTTTCACAACCAACTGATTTCTGTTTGGAGTTTCTCCCATGTTCTGTTGCTGAGGAACAGGCTCATGGACAGGTTCCACTTGGAAATTTGATTCACTTCTTCTTTGTTCACCTGTCAGGTTGCCCTGGATAGAAGAACCTGTTCCATCACCTGTTCCTTCTTTTGGTGCAGCTTCACTCAATTCTTTTACCAGCCTAATAGTTTCATCTTCATGTTCATGTCTATCAGAAATAATGTTAGTTTCATCAAAAATTACATGTACACTTTCTTCTACACACAGTTTTTTTGTTGTACACTTTATAAGCTTTGCTTTGTGAAGAATATCCCAAGAATACTCCCTCATCACTTCTGGGATCAAACTTACCTAGGGAGTCCTTTCCATTATTATGCACAAAGCACTTGCATCCAAATGCCCTAAGATGGGATATATTTGGTTTTCTCCCTTTAAGTAACTCATAGGGAGTCTTCTCTACAAGAGGTCTAGTCATGCACCTATTAATGATGTAACATGCAGTATTTACAGCCTCTGCCCAGAAGCTATGGGGCAGTTTACTAAAAAGAAGCATAGTCCTAGCCATATCTTCAAGAGTCCTATTCTTTCTTTCAACTAATCCATTTTGTTGAGGAGTCGTAGGGGTAGAGAAATTATGATCTATACCATGCATCACAAAATTCAGCAAACTTAGCATTTTCAAATTCAGTTCCATGATCAGACCTAATTGATGCAAGTTGATTACCTAGTTGTTTCTGAGTTTTTCTAACAAAGGCAGTAAACATGTCAAATGCTTCATCCTTAGATGTTAAGAACAATACCCAAGTAAACCTAAAATAATCATCAATAAGTACCATCACATATTTCTTATCGCCTCTCCTCAATGTTCTCATTGGACCATAGAGATCCATATGAACCAGTTCCATCGTCCTGGTCGTGCTTACCACTTTCTTGTTTTTAAAAGAGGATCTTACCTGCTTCCCCCTTGCACAAGCCTCACAAACTTTGTCTTCCTTGAACTTGATGTTAGGTAACCCTATCACTAGGTCCTTGGAGACTAATTTGTTGAGTTGATTTAGACTTGCATGACCAAGTCTTTTATGCCAAAAGAGGGGATCATTGTCCAACACACTCAAGCAAGTGAGTCATTTTCTGAAAGAGTGGACAAATCTACAATGTAAATATTGTTAACTCTTTTTCCCTGCAAAACAATCTTGTTAGTGGTAAGATTAATCAGAAAACATTTAGTAGAGGTGAATGCTACAGGTTACCTCTGTCACACAGTTGCGATACACTAATTAGGCTATATTTCAAGCCATCTATCAAGTAGACATTCTGAATGGCATGTGATTCTGTCTTACCTACCTTTCCAGCCCCAATGATCTCACCTTTCATCCCATTTCCAAAGGAGACATTACCTCATTTTAGGTCCTCAAGTGAAAGGAACTGGTTCTTACTTCCAGTCATATGCTTTGAGCAGCCACTATCCATGTACCATATTTGGCTACTTCCCTTCACTTGGACCTGCAAAACAAAATCAGGGGTTAGTCTTAGGAACCCAAACTAGTTTGGGTCCCTCTCTATAGGCAAAGGGGTGAATTAAATTCTTTCTAGCCCATCCAGGCAGCCTATTTTTCTCTTAAACAACGGTTTTGTTCTTTTGACTGGCCTTTTCTTTTACATTACATTCACTATTGTAATGACCAGTCTTGCCATAGTGTGTGCAGATTTTATTCTCAGTAAGTGTGATGTACTTGCTTTTGGGATCCCACTTAGGTGCTGGGGTCCCATAGCCAAGTCCTCTCTTATTGCTACTGTGGTGCTCTTGTAGCCAGGATAGTGCATCAGAGGACTTATTCCATTTGCAAGTTCTGTCTAGTTCATGCTTCACCTTGCCTAGATCTTCTTTTAGGACTCTTATCTGCTCATCTTTCTTGTACAGTTCATCCTTCATTTTTCCTAGATTTTCTTCTAAGGTGAGATGTGTGTGATCAGCTTTCTTCTTACCTGTTCCTAATTTTAGTTTTAAATTTTCAGACCTAAGTTCTAAGACAGTGGTGTCAAGTTCAAGGACCTTGTTCTTCAACTCAGTATTTTTACTATCACTTTCACTAGCCCTGAGTTCCAGATTTTTGCACTTGGCTTTTAGGATCACACATTCCCTAGACAGCTGCTCTTTCTCATTGTTTATGACCTCAGACTCATCAATGAAGACTAGCAGTAATTCAGATAGCCTTTCTTTAGACAAAAATTTAATCTTGTCTTTGAGATGAATCACACTTACCTCTTGTTCATCGTCTGATTCTCCAATGGCCATAAGTGCTTGTTCATCTACAGTTTCATCTTCTGAATCCTCATCTAAGCTTTCTCCCCAAGCAGCAACCATAGCCTTTGTTGATCCTTTATTCTTCTTGGGTTGAACCTGTTCCTTCTTCATGTTTCTTCGTTCAGCCCTTTCCCTCTTCCATTCAATTTCCCACTAAGGACAATTCTTGTTCATGTGGTCTATCTTACCACATTTGTAGTAGCCCTCGTTGATCTGTTTTTCAGGAGCCCTTGGTTTGTTGAAGGTTGCACCTCTTGAAGAACCCTTTTCTCTCATTAGGTACTTCTTGAAATCCCTTGTGATCATAGCCATTTTATCATCCTCCAAGTCTGCACCTTCAGCTATTCTGAGAGCTAGGCTTCTTTCCTTCTTGGGTGCATCCAACTTCA